TTACTCTTCTATACATCGTCAATGTATCTTTTTATATAAGCGATTGAGTTCGCCTAGTTCCTCTTGAGTGTTAACGATCTGGTAAATCACAGCGACATCCCCGACTACATGACTTGATCCTATACGACATCACCAAAGAGTGGTAAGAAGAAACTATAGAAGGGCGGAGGATGAGTTCTGCTGGGGAAGATAAAGAAAATAAACTTTTCTTTTTAACCCCAAAGTTTCTTCATAATGTCGTTAAAACCTCAATTTGAAGGACAATGTATATTTATTAAAAAAAATCTGACTATTCTCCTTTGGCTGTTAAATCAAATGGAAAACTAATGGATTGAATTTAATCATGAACTATAGGATTAAATGGTAAGTTTTCAAGTCACAGGGAGTTAATGTGCACAATCGCTTAACCTCAAGTAGGTTTTTTGTATTTAACCTTTAAAGATTTTATAACAACATATTTTTCCCAAGCACAAGTAACAATCTAGCTAGATGTTTAAGAAACAGAAAGGGATAGATTCCGATGCAATCTTTTGTAGGATCTTACCATTTTAATCACAAAATTTACAACAGAAACGTTGTTGCGTTGACAATCTCTCTGTTTTTTTTCTCCTTTTTTTTATATGTTCATATTGTTGAATTATCAATCACTGGTAACTTGTCAAGCAACAACATCAATTCAGGCGGCGCTGAGGTCCCCGACCTTATGAGTTATAACGTTAAATTACATTAAAATCAAGTATCTGTATGGAATTTGAGTATATCTGAGTTAATTTTCCAGCCACATCGCAAAACTTTACCCCTATAAGATGACGAGTCTTGGAGCCATGGACTGCAGCACAGCAAAATTAATTAAGTAAACTTCAAAGCTTCGAGCAAAAAATATGGGTTTCTTTCAAAAATGGTTTTGCATGTTCATTCTTGTCTTGGGCGTTGCCTTGCACTTGAGTGCAATTGCTCATGGCAATGGCGATTGTGAATTTGGTAGGAAAAGGTGCGCTGGCAGGGGAATAAGAGCTAGAGCACTTCTTGCTGATGGTGGAGGGACTGATGGGGCTGGAGATTTTGGTATCATCACTCGCTTCCCTAGATGACTTTTAAATCAAGAAGTTTTTGTTCCTTCCATCTTATCAATTTATCATTAATTATTCCAACTTGCATTATAAAGGCATAATCCTAACACAAAGATCTCAAATCGGGTATGATTTGTTTTAATTTCATTTTTTAAGTAACTTTGGAGAATGGACATATTTTAGATATCAATTCACATTTATATATATAATTTTTAGATGTATATTTGATTGCAAATCTAATATTTTTGGAACATTTTGTAAGGTTGGTTGAATATAACCAAGAACTTAATTTCAATATTTTTGAAACTTATAAAAATATAGAATAATTATGACATCATACTGACTTCAGCCGATTTTTGAGAGCGGTTTAACTGATCCTACTAATTGACCCTTGACCCAAAAGTTTAGTCGAGTCACCATTCGATCCGAGTTTAACACCATTGATCTTGACATCTTATCATATGAAAAGGAAATATAAGAAAGAAGGTAGTTCGTTGCTAATTAAGAAGGAAAACATTGAAAATTAGAGAAAAAAAATATTAGTTGTGTTTGGACAGGGATAGTTAAAAAAATTGTATTATCAACCAAGAAAAAAGATAGATGGTTCTAAAAAATATTAGAGAACCTGGATTCAAATCCTTCTTTTCTCGTTCCCGCTTCTTCAATCTCACTCCTTTCTTGCCTACATACGGTGTGTGATTTGGTTTGGCTGGAAAAAATGTGTCTGTGTTAGGAATCTACTAATATATAGAAAATACTCCAGCTAGACTTTAACAAGCTTAGAAAAGCAGGTTCAAACACAAAATTGATTATTTTTTATATTCAACTTCATTAATTAATGTGCATTCTGAAAACCTTGGAAGTTTAGCTGCTGGGTATTTTCATACACTCGGTATTTCGACATGTACCTGCTGTAAAGAAAATTTGAGAGGCTAGAACAGCGAGGAAGCTCGAAAGGGACGTGAAGGGGGACACAGAATTAATGGCGCATATAAAGTGAATCAGAGAGAGGACTGGAAAAGGTGCAATTAACCCGAAGTAATTTTAGCCCATGCATTTAGCGCGGGATTTTTTTTTTATTAGCTGTGAATTTGTATAAGATATGAATAACTTAAGAAAGAAATATCAGCAACATTCTTGTATTGTTGTTCTATTTACTTTAGAACATTATTGTATTTTGGATGTTCAAATATCAGATTAATTTTTAATAACTTCTACAGTTTAGTTTATTATAATGTGATAATATCCATCAAATACTGCAATGCCGAGAAAAAAATTATATGTATTCTTTGACATAGTAATTAAACAGTTACAGTGATTATATATCTACTATCTACAACTATGTACTTTTTGAATTGAATATAGAAGATGTATCAACCTATTTTCTCACAAGCGAATATTTAGTTTCTAGCAAAGTTAATAGATTATACTGAACAAAGTATGGATAAGAAAAAAATTCAAATTTGTTAAGAAAAAAGTTAAAGTTATTACAAGAGAGAAACGATGAGAGAAACCCAAATACATTTTCTCTTCAATTAGATTTAAGGTTAAAAATATAAATAATTATATATTTAATGAGAAACCAAATAGATAAAAGTTGTTGAATGAGGCTCAAATAGAATAATAGGCTAAGTATCTGGTTGCCCCATCAACTCTCTTTAATTAAACATACCACCTTGGTGCTCTCAGACATGCACGCGCACGCACACACATATATATATTTATAGAAATCGTGGAATAAAACTCTCGAGAATCTTAAATAGATTTCTCTTTCATTTATTCGCTTAAATTTATTCTTTTTCCAGCCTTACTTTTATGAGTTAATTTTTCCTGCGCAATCATTTTGTGCCACCTGATTAATGACACTATAATGTTCTTTACCTTTTACCACTTTAAAAGATTTAGAGTCATTTTTTTGACAATTAAGAAGATCAACAATTAAGGAAGGGAAGACTGTTTTGGCAGTTAAGAAGTTATATTAGATTACCAAACTTTCATGAATGAGGTATTGCAAGACTATGAATCACTAGCGTACAATGGGTTTTTATTGACGGTACAGGAAATATTTTTCTTTTCTTTTTTTTTTTTAAATATGTTTCATTGGAATTTTCTGCCTACTATTCCATAGACAGAAATGCTTCAAGCCGATGACGCTGGATTACTTTTTCAAACGTAACGGATCAAATGGAAATGGGGCAGGCAACGCCCCTAAAGGTTGATGGTCATGATTTGATTAAAAAAATATAAAATCCAAATTACATCTTATATATAGATTTCAATCTCCTCCACAAAATTTTGTTTTATAATTATAAGTTATTGAAATCGAGTTACATTTCAACAAATGAAATTAGAGAAAAATAGTTCGAAACGGTTTTTTTGGTGACTGTTCGGGCCTTGGTACTAAATCAATGATTGTTTACTCAAAAGGTCAAATGAAGCCTCCCAATTGATCACCGGCTCCATGGTCTGTACCAAAAAGTCGAACAAAGACTGGCAAGTTGACTCCACTGATCACCAACACCGTCCACAGATGATGATGTGCGGAAAAGAAAGACATTTTCTTCGGCCTTTACACTAATTTAATGTTCACCAAATTAGTTGAGCATCTTTAATACAAATGTTACAACGAAATCTTACTTATATAAAATAATCATGGATAACAGGATAATAGTCTACAGCATTTCTCAATACATTGGTTCATACCAAGGGAAAAAAAACACAAACACACACACGGACACAGATTTATGATGAACCCATCGTCTTCTATGTAAAAAAAAAATGCAATTTTTTTTCAATAAAAAGTATAAATTAAAAGAAAAAAGAAAACTATTTACTTCATCGCTTTCAATTGCCTTTTATCGATCAACCACACCCGGACTTATTGTTGATTAGATTTGTTTGTCCACCTTAAATTTTGTTGCTTTGGAACCAACTTTAATTTACCTCAAAACAACTGATAAAAAATAAACCACACCCGGCATCACAAGTTCAGAACAAAAAAAAAAAGAAGAAGAAGTAATCCCTCTACTTTCTGAATAGGATAAATTAGTTCTCAACCAAGAATAGGTTTTGTACGTCATGGCCATTATTCTGATTAGTTTACATGCACAAATTTGGATATACATTTGGAGATGTTATCAAAATTAAAATACCGAAATCATGTCAAAAATTCTCAACCAGATATATAGGCCAGTTTGCCAATATCCCGAGTCAAGACTTGTAATGCATTGTAGTACATTATTACTTGCTAATTGTAGGTACAAATACTTGATGGCATGGCCTATCATGAGTCCAAGACTAGATCAGAATCTTTCATAGACATTTCATACTTTTTCATTTGTTTTATGCCATTAATCAATTCTCGGAGCTCCATCACAAGAGCGAGCAGATGTGTAGGTGTCTAATAGTAAAGTACGCTGGAAGAGTTGGGTACCAATCCATGGCTGTGAATTTTAAGGGCAATCTATACTAAGTTATCACCTCACCTCTACACCCACGGAAAATTTTAATAGATTTGGTTTTTGTGCAAACAAAGCTCTAAATATTTGTACCAAGTGGGTTAAATCTTGCACAATTGGAAAGGTATTATGCAAGTTATGGTCAGTAAAAAATAAGAGTTGTATTCTTGAAATTTATGCATGAGAAAAAGCGAGTTAGTACTTACTGATTCACTTTCAGTAGTATTGAAAATATGCTCCAAAGATGCATCAGAGATTGACTTTGGCAGCCATATAATCAATTTAATGGCTCCCGACTTCCCGCCACATCTCCCCAACGGTTTAGACGCGTTGAGCAAGAATTTCACATGCTTACATTAATGGTGGATTGACAATCTTAGCAATCTTGCATGGAAACCTGTATAAATGCCAAGTCATATGGTGCAATAGAGCAAGCCAAAGTGAACTCCGAAGTGTAAACCTTGTTAACAGTATGGGTTCTCCTTCTAGAAAATGCTTTTTTGTGTTTCTTCTTCTCTTGAGCATTGTCTTAGACTTGAGCATAACAACTGCTGGTGATGCCAAAGTTGAGAAACAATGGGGGGAAGATGGTTGTGGAATTGGTAGGAGAGGCTGTGGTAGTAGGGGAAGGGAAGGACGAGGGTTAGGTGGAGTTGGAGGAGGTTTTGGAGGTGGTGGAGGTGGAGGAATTGGTGGTGGTGCAGGAAAAGGTGGAGGGTTTGGAGCAGGAGGTGGTGTTGGTGGTGGTGCCGGGGGTGGAATAGGTGGCGGAGGAGGTTTTGGAGGTGGTAAAGGTGGAGGAGTTGGTGGTGGTGCTGGTGAAGGTGGAGGGTTTGGAGCCGGAGGCGGTGTTGGTGGTGGTGCTGGGGGTGGAGTAGGCGGTGGAGGAGGTTTTGGAGGTGGTAAAGGTGGAGGAGTTGGTGGTGGTGCTGGAAAGGGTGGTGGGTTTGGAGCAGGAGGTGGTGTTGGTGGAGGTGCAGGTGGCGGAGGAGGTTTTGGAGGCGGTAAAGGTGGAGGAATTGGTGGTGGTGTCGGAAAAGGTGGAGGGTTTGGAGCTGGAGGTGGAGTTGGTGGTGGTGCAGGGGGTGGAGTAGGTGGTGGAGGAGGTTTTGGAGGCGGTGAAGGTGGAGGAGTTGGTGGTGGTGCTGGAAAAGGTGGAGGGTTTGGAGCTGGAGGTGGTGTTGGCGGCGGTGCAGGGGGTGGAGGAGGTTTTGGAGGCGGTGAAGGTGGAGGAGTTGGTGGTGGTGCTGGAAAAGGTGGAGGGTTTGGAGCCGGAGGCGGTGTTGGTGGTGGTGCAGGGGGTGGAGTAGGTGGTGGAGGAGGTTTTGGAGGTGGTAAAGGTGGAGGAGTTGGTGGTGGTGTTGGAAAGGGTGGTGGGTTTGGTGCAGGAGGTGGTGTTGGTGGAGGTGCAGGTGGCGGAGGAGGGTTTGGCAGTGGTGGAGGTGGTGGCATTGGCGGTGGGTCAGGTCATGGTGGTGGACTTGGAGCAGGAGGAGGAGCAGGTGGAGGCCTTGGTGGAGGTGCAGGAGGCGGCGGTGGCGCCGGTGGTGGTGAAGGAGGTGGTGTTGGTGGTGGTGAAGGAGGTGGTGTCGGTGGCGGTTTTGGCCATGGTGGAGGTGTTGGAGCAGGTGGTGGAGTAGGAGGTGGCATTGGAGGTGGAGCTGGAGGAGGTTCTGGACATGGTGGTGGATTTGGTGCTGGAGGAGGTGTAGGAGGTGGAGCCGGTGGAGGAGTTGGAGGCGGTGGAGGATTCGGAGGAGGAGGAGGTGGTGGTGGAAACTAAAACATTTCTGCTGGGATTAGTTCAACTTTGGTCCTTTGTTTTCTTGAATGTTGTATGTATTACCACGACCCTAGTCTATGGTTCGATGGAGCTCGTTGATTTCCTTGGATTAGTTGCGTAATATGGAAATTTTGGATAAAAGGACGTAGGTCCTGTTAAATAAACAATTAATGCCCTACTAAACGTTTCCTTGCTCCCCTTTCATGCAAGATCTGCTACTGGTCTTCCTTCTTTTTTCTCTTTCGAAACATCCATTCTGGTTGACTCGTTTGAAAGCGAAAAGGTTTCACAATTACTGAAGTTAGAATAATAAACTCAAATAGTAATATAGTTTGAATAATATCATAGTACAGTAACATGTTCCCAGAATTATTAATTCTCATGGCTTATTCAAAGACAAATATATTAAGCAAGACAAAAGTAAATTGTTCTTCTTCTTAAGCAGGGCCTATGGCCCATTAATAAATTGTTGCTATTAGCTCTATGAGACTCAATTCTCGAGTACATGCGAAATATTTGGACCACATTATGGAAGTCGAAATGAATGAATTCGATGCATTTTGCTGAAGGAAATTGTTCAAAAAATTTTGACTACAACATGTATGATTTCAATTCTAATTCCTATTAAAATGAGGAAACAGCCTAAAACATTATTTCCTTGGGTGCAATTATTTGAGTTCACAAATGACATTCCTATATTGGCAAATATAGGACGTTGAATGTACAGAAAGACATAGATTTGATTGCCACTATAAGTTAGCTTAGTTGATAAAGATGGGCCAAATTCTTACAAAAGGTCGTATACTCGTTGTCAATATGAAAGTTGTATTGGTGGATTGACAATGTGAAAATTGTATTAGTGGACGATCTGTATGAATGTTTGTAAGCGATATGTGGTCCCGAATGCATGCTTTAACCAATTGCGGTGATTGGAATCAAACCCATCAAACCTTTTCATTATGAAAGGGAAAAAAATGGAGATGGATTTGATTAGATTACAAGAATTAGGAAGACCCTAAATTACAGCCTCCACTGCCTTTAGAACACCCAAAAATCTTGCTAGTATCTATCAATTTTGTCTCTCACTCTTTTCAATTTACAATTGAATACAGTAACAAAACACCCTATATATGACCCACAATATTCGATAAATAAGAAACAACTAAACTGGACAATAAACTACTGAATAAATACTTAATCTCTTAAATAACCAAATTACCAAAGCTTACACCAGAACAAAAACTTTTAAACTAAAAATAGGAAAAATTAACTATTAGAAGTTTGCTTTAATTATCTCAATTGTAGTTCTACTACCTTTAAGCCAAATCGTGGTGCCATACTATAATTGAAGCCACTTTTGCAGTAGGAGTACTCCCAAACAGTCCCACAATTCTTGTCATAGCACTGTAGCAATATAGAACTTGCATCTGAGCTAGCCAGACTACGTATTAGGAACCAGCAAGCGTCTTTCTCCTTATAGTTGCTTTCCCTTCCCACAAATTCTGGGTTTGTTGCACCCTAAAAGGCTGTTAGGCACCAAAAATTACCCTAATATCTACCTTCATCTTTTATTTTTATTTTTGGTTCTATCTTCATGATTAAATACAAATAGCGACCATGGACAATGTAACAAAAAATAGACTAATTTGGAAATTTACTCCACAAATAGTCTTACACTCAAGGGAATGTAACTTGCCCTTAATAAGACCAATCGGCTATTTTTCTTTTCTGTTGAAAATAAAAACAAATAAAAAGACCGCGATTCATAACGCTTTAAAATGAATAATTTCAGAAATCATATACGTCGAAGCAGATATATTTTTACTCATAAATTACTGGTGATGCTTCTTACTTAGAGTCTGTTTGATAACATAAAAAAGTTCTGAATCTGACCTTTTTCAGACATTCAGATGTTTTGAGTGTTTGATAAATGAAAATCCATTTGCTAAATTTGTTAAGTAGTGCTGAACTTGTGTGTATTTTTTTCAGCTAACTGAATGCTTAATTCTGATAAGAATCAATAGAATTACTTCACTTATCTTATCTTATCTACCAAATCTACCATTATTTATTAATTATGTTCAAAATTCTTATATAATTAAACAATCTAATATTCTCTATCTAATGATTTTCTATTTCTCTTTTCTCTCTTTTGAATGACTTTCACTTCTTTTCTATACTCCTCATATAATATAATTCATCTTTTATATTAATTTGATTTAAAAATAAATATGGTCATTTTCATGCCTAATTTTCATCTAATTAAATCATAGGTTCTATTTCTTTTTTGGGTGAAAAGATATAAGGGCAAAATTGTCAAATTTAACTTATTAAGCGTTCAGTTATAAATGTTTATTAAACAGTATAAATAGGTTTAGCATTAAAATTCAGACATTCATATATTTCTTTTCAGTGCTTAAAATTCAACAAATTAATTGTTTCAGTATTCAGATTTCAGAATTCAGATTCAGTTTTATCAAACGGAATCTTAGTCCTAAATTGGTCGTCCTAAACGGAACCTTAGTTTTAACATAGACGAATGAGCATCACTCATCATCAGCATGGGAGGACAATCGTTAGTACTACGTAGATTTTGTATTATGACTGAATAAGATCCTTGTTTGTCTGTTTGTTTGTTTCTTGCCTTGAAAAAAAAATCCTTTTTGTTATCTTCAATTAAAAAAATTGGAAATGCACCAGGTTAAGCGAAAAAGTTAACTTCAATCCTTTGAGTCAGTTAATGTAAAGATTATGCGTTTCTCTCAACGATGATTTTTTGTTGCTTCTTCTCTTGAGCATTGCCTTGGACTTGAGTGCAATCGCTCGTGGCAATGGTGATTGTGAATTAGAGTTCTTTTTGGAGCTAATAGAAATTTTGCTGTTGCTTCTAGTGACTTAATTGACTTGAGGCTGCAGGAAGCAAGACAAGATTGTTTTGGCAATTAACAGGTTATAATGGATTAGAACATATTAGGATCACATATGTTATAACTTTGAGAGCTACAGGCGATTATGAACCACTATAGTATTTCGTAATTTTTTTTTCAAAAATTATTTCATAATCCTGCTATAAGTTTGTCTCTAAAATTATAGATATACCTATCTTTGAAAAGTAAACAGTCTCATGATCTCATAAGATTCGAAAATTGCAGATGCAACTATAGTCCAAATAGATTACCAACTTTAATGAACGAGTTACTGCAAAACTATGAACTAAAGGAAACACTTGCGTTTTTTTTTTCTCATTTTTCAATATGTCTTATTGGAATTTTCTGCCGACTATTGTCAAAATAAGAGATGTAGGAGATTTCGCAGCCATGCTTCAAGTTGATGATGCTGGATGATTACTTTTTCAAAAGTAATTGACAAATGATTCTATATTCAAAATGTCAAATAAAGACTGCCAATTGATCACTGGTTCTATAGACTATATATAGTCACCATGCCCAAAATTAAGGTCAAACAAATACTGGTTAGTTGACTTCAATGAGCTTATTATCCAATGGGAAAGAAAGACATTTTTCTTCGGCATTAGGACTAAGTTAATGTTAACTAAATTAGTTGTAAGATACACCTTTACTAAATGTTACGAAGAAATTCTACTCATATAATAGTCATGGATAACAGGATAATAGTTTACAACATCTCTCAATACACGTAAATCTTCACACACACACACACACACACAATTTTGACGAATCCATCCTCTTATATGTAATAATGTTAATGCCATTTCCTTCAATCACTTTCAATTGACTTTATAAACCAAAAACCTCCCCGAATCACAAGTTCAGAACTTAGTTCTCAACTAGCAGTTGTCTTTAATCTCTTTGACTACTTGAGCCATTTTAGCCGTCAAGAGTAACATCTTTTACAACTTAAAATTGCGTTAGTTGTTTTCCACAACCATAATTGTTGTCTAAGGGACAATTTTACGTGAAATTACAACTCCGAGAGTTATAGAAAATTCCCTTTGTAAAGAAAAAAAATTATTAGCACAACCATTGCAAAGTTTGTAATTCAATTAAAAGGTACATTTGAAAAAGAAATGATGCCAAAGTGATAGCTCTAGAGTATCATATGTCAAAATCCCCCAAAAAGCAAAAAAAAAAAAAAAAAAGTGTCTTAACCAACAAGAGTGTTGTATGTCATGGCCATTCTTTCTATTATTTTGCAAGCACAGTTTTGGATATATAATTGGAGATGTTGCCAGAATTGGACAGAATACTGAAATCGTGTCAAAAAATCTCAACCAGAAATACGGGCCATTTTGGCCATCCCTAGTCGTCACAAGACACGAAATGCATCGTTGTTCAACAATGGAGTTGTAAACAGCAATGTATGACTCTATGCAAAGACTGCTGCCTTCTCAATGATCTCAGCGCCAAGGACAAGAGCAAGAAAAGGGAAAAAAAATATTACTACTTGCACATTGTAGCATGGTAAAAATACTTGATGTCATGGCCTAGCATGAGTCCAAGCTAGATAAGAAGTTTTAAAGACATTTCATATTTACTATTTGTTTTATGCCATTAATCAATTCTTTGGAGCTCCATCTCAAGCAGATATGCAGGTGGCTAATAAATTTGGTTGCTGTGCAAGCAAAGCTCTAAATATTTGTGCCAAGTGGGTTGAAATTAACTTGCGCAATTTGAAAGGTAATATGCAAGTTATGTCTGTAAAAAACAAGAAGTTGTATTTTTAAACTTGAATGCATGAGAAACACCGACTCAGTAGTACTTTTTAGTTTTTTGTCAACAGATTGGAAAATATGCTCCAAAGATGCATCAGAGATTGACTTTGACAGTCACTTCATTAATTAATGGCTCCCGCCATATCTCCCCAACGGCTGTGACGCGTTGAGTAAGAATTTCTAATGCTTACATTAACGGTGTATTGACAATCTTGGCACTTTCGCTAGTCAGGTGAAGCCTATATAAATGCCAAGTCTTGGGGTGCAATAGAGCAAATCAAAGTGAACTGCGAAGTGTGAACCTTGT